ACTCTCCTTGTGCCTCAAGGACCCGTGTTTTAGCTCATGCTGTTTTCGATCTATACAAATTCTCTTCATATTTATCTGAAATACGTCTAAGATACTGCAGTTACTTCAGCGGTGTTGAGTGGAGAAGAATTCTTTGCATATTTTACTGGGGTTGAAAAGATCGAAACCGAAGCCTACTCAGATGAACAGAGGTTGGCTGCCAGCAGATACTAAATTCGTAAAGCCATATCCGTGCCAGGTAGTATTGGGTCAGCGATGCTTGTAAATTTGACATCAACGACCTGTAGCATATGTCAGTCCGTTTAGTCACCGAGACGCGCCTTCTTTTACCTGAGAGTACACCTGAATGATCGTTTAGCTTGGTTTAACCACGTCCAGCTGATCGTCACCAAGGTTAGGATGGTGTCGTTTTATGTTAGTGGATTGCGCCTCTGGGAGCACCGAGCAGGCTTTGATGGCTGTTTCGTCGGTCTAGCGTCCCTGCACTGACATACGGCTACAGGGTTCTTTCTAATCCGTTCGACCGGCAATTGCAATGTGCTCTGGAGTTGTTTGAAACTATTTTGAAAGAGAGCTGGCCTGTCCTACCAGAGAAGCATGTCAGTTATTATGAGTTAGTTATGTTCTACCTCGCTATCAAGATCTCAGTCCGTCGCTATCAGGATCCTCGACGACCCGAAACACCGTTTGCATGATATTTTCAAAAGCTGCCTGTCGAAAGTGAATGCGATACCTACGGAAGTAAACTTTTATACACTCGGACAGGGCTGTTCCATCTCTCAGTGGTTCCTCACTTAGTCCAGGTTTGACAGATCTAAAGGACTGTTTATGTCGATTCGTACGCAGTAGGTACTGCCAGCGTCTCGAAAACTGCTTAAAACCCGATACCAACTGTCGGCTGTAGCCGCAAATTGTAATTGTTTCAACGATGATGTACTGGGATTGAGTTTCCAAACAACACAATGTATTCTGGCAAAACATTCGCCACCATCAAGATGGAAAAAAGGACCGTTTTCGAGTTCTGAAGAACTGTTCCGCAAGCCTTCCTACTGAGTAAGAGGATATGCTTCGAAGAACTGTTTATCTCTCAGTAGATCGCAGGGAGACTGGTTTGAAGAGCATTAGGGTACTATTTCTACTTTAGATTAAGAAGTCGTTAAAGTCGCAGACCGTTGAAACCTTGAAAAGTGACTCGACTTTGGCATCAATGAAATATTCTGAGATGTTTAAAGTTTTAGGCGAACAGGGCATGTTGTAAGCAACACCGTGTCGATGAAGTTGCAGTGAGTATGGGGAAGATACCAGTAGACTTATGAACTAGGGCTGTAGTACCCCTGCTCAAGAGCGGAGACTGGCATGAAGGTTTTTGCGTTGGCAGCAAAATTTATGAATAAATTCAATTATCTCGACATCATGTTCGGAAACGATAGTAAATTGAAGGAACAGATCAAACGTCTGACGGTGATAACCCTGATCTCTCTGAGTTCGTCGTAACCATGACTAACTTACAGTTGGAATTGTCTATTTTTAGTTTGTTTTCGTTCCTGTGCATGGCCTTGAATGTCTCTTAATGACCAGAAAAATACGATTTGCTGTTGCTGTCCGGCGATGCAAACTTCCTGATGAAAGCCAAAAAGCCACAGTGAAAGAAATTCTGCACTTGTAAATATCAATTGTTAGCTAAGCGATCCAGAAAATTATTGAAGCTAAAACCGAAATGAGAACTCGTAACAGCAGTATCTCTTCGAATATCGCTAGGGCGGATAGGTAAGCAGCTATTCCTTGCTTGGTCAACAAGGGAAGGTCCCGTGATGAGGAGCGATTGCAAAATTGAACAGTGTTCCATCATCGTGATGTCTTCTGCTGCCCAGTCACAGCCGAAACATCGTCAGTGTTCATAACGTTGTTTGGCTGTTCAGTCGTGTCGACTTCTTCACAGAACAGCGGACAAATTGAAGCTGACTGGCTAACTAACGTACCTACTAAATGACTGACTCATTAACTGGCCTCCTGACCATTTACTAACATCAGAGCACGTTATCCGGAAACGTTGAAATGCTTTTGAACTTAAAAACAGTCTCGCGTTGCTCTGAAGCATATTTTCTGCAGTAGAGTTATGTAGTTGCCGGTGTCCTGAAAGCCTTTGTCCTGTACTCACTTTTCGTTGTTACTTTTGTATGCGCGCATTTATCTAGTGTTGTTTTAAAGTTGTTCATGCAAGTTGCTCATCAAGATCTAGAAATTGTCTTCGGTGCTGCCAAATTGTACGTTGTCTCTGTAACGCACTACTCGTTTAGGATATTGATTGGAAACGATCGCTTCACCACACAGGCTGAATGTTTGATCTTGGAGCCAGTGACGATTATGTTAGCCGTTTCGCGTAATTTGTCGTTTTCTTGGTATAAAGAGGTTCCAAGCATCACGGTTAGTGGAAACCTCCCTGAACTTAAGGCAGGCATCGTGTCGTTTTGTTCCTCTTGACGTATAGGTAACTTTTGCCTTTGTAGATGAGTTTAAGCGAAGAGGATTATACAGTTGTTATGAACACTGTTAGTCAGAACCTGTCTGAAGTTGAACCGCCACCCACAACATTGAAGGCTGTCTCTGCTAATGTCGAACACAGGGAGCCTAAAGTGGTAGAAGCAGACAAGGAAGTAGTTCAACAGACGCAACAGAAAGTGTCGGCCGACTTTGGTAATTCTAGCAGGGCAGCAGTAGGAAAGTCATCGTTCACTGCGGAAAAGGGTGGGTCAGATTTGGTGCAGTTCAAATTTATGGTAGAGAAGATCGCAATGTTGCTGTATGCTGGATCTTCTAACTTGGTAACAAAGTTTCCATCATTGTCGCCGAGCGAAAGTTTATTTCTGGCACTGTTCTAGTTGAGTGGAAGTATGCCACGACCGGTTGATCGATCGCTGGCCGGTCTCGAATTTCTTATGATCGGCCTTAGTGGGAAAATTTCTGAAGACGGCACAATCGTTTCCAACATCAGTCTGCAAAATGTGACCGTCAAGGACCTGCGAGTGAAAAGCACAGGCATCAGAAAGTGCTCCAGTGTCAGTTTATTCTCAGTTGATCTTCATATTTTTCGTTGCAGATTTCTGTCGTCGAGCAGTGCGCAGCAAAGTTTGGTCGCCTTGAGCTACAATAAAAACGGCGTTTCCAGTCGTCAGAATGGTAGTGTACTCTGTCGTATTTCATTCATGGTAGAAGGTGCTAATCCGTCATCGTATTTAGTCGAACTATATCTTCATCCAGTCTACATCTGCCTCAGTCCCAGCTTTCTTATGCTCTTAACCAATTTTTTCAGCGGTAAAGAAGACGCAGCAGCGTCGTCTGCGAAACAGAAACAGGTGACGGAAGAGAAGCAGGAAAACCCGGACGTAGCCGCGGATGCTCCTGAGAAGCAGAAAGGTATGTTCGAGGTCAAACGGCATGGCTGGTTGTTTTCAGTGCTTAACCATATTTGTATTTTTCAACTTTCACTGTTTTTTTGAAGATTTGTTTAGAAATAGTCTGCGAACATGCACTCATTACGCTGCTTAGCACAGACGCGTTTGGCCTAGAGCGCTAGTCGATTTATTTATAGCTGGAATAGAATTTTTCGACATAGGCTATAAACTTGATAGTGTTAATTTATTGGAGCTCTAGTGTAATCTTTTGTACGCAATAAATTTATGCAAAATGTGTCAATACATGTAGCAGTTAAAACTCCACGGAGCCGCGGTTTGCTTGAGCAGTTCCTTATAATCTGAGCACAAGGAGTTGCGATAACTCCGGGAAGTCTGGTATGGAAAGCTGGCACTTATTAGTCTGACATACATAGGGATGAATACCGAAGGAAAAGGGTTTAAATTGACATTGTACAGATTATGGGGTTGTTGGATGATCAATCAATACCGGTTTTTGTCTCCATCGTACGCACTTTTTTTCATACGATTTTGCGATAGGTAATTTTCGGTTCCTGTTGCTCGCAGAAGCTAGAACTGTTCGAGTTCTGTGGTAAGCTGTCGTCCAGTACTCGTATTTAACATTTTCCTGACGGAAGGCATGATTAAATAAATACTAATCATATGCACGCACGGTTCCTATCTATTGTCTCAGGACTGCTGATTAATGCCTCGTTGAATCACCTATACAGCCAAACTGATTGATTGGCAATACAGACTTATTCGTATCATTTTGGCGCCATAGGTCATATGTTGCATGTTCTATCTGTTACTTGAGCTCCATGTATTAGGACTACATGATCCGGAGAGTGGGAAAGACTGTTTTCGGTCAGTGGTGTTGTTTCGCTGAATTTCTTTTTGCTTCCCCGTTTGAAACCTTTTATCAGTCACTTCATGGCCTGTTTGTTTACAGCTGTTGACCGTTTGAAGAACGGAATTTAGTAGTAAGCGTTATCTATACCGCCGGTAAGAACTATATATGCATCTATTCTCTCGAATTATACTGTAAAGTCTTTCTGATCCTTCGATTTTATGAGACTCGGAAGCCGTTTTTGTCTTGTCTTGAAGCTAAGTTGTCCCCAGCTTCATGGTGTTATAGTACATGCAGTGCATTCACTAATATTTATCCATTAGTAGGTTTACGGTTGATGCTAGTTTTGTAACAGTTGCTATAGTTAATTATCTAGAAAGATAACACTGAAAGAAATGAAAGAAATTAGACAAAGGCTAGTCATTGTGAATCGGAAGATACAAACAGTTTTTTCATTCAGTTGTTGTACCAATGATTTGCTGGGAGAGAGTATCGATTAGATCGATAATTTTGTCTGATCTCTTTTGAAACAGATTGCAAAAGTTTCGTCGGCATGCTTATTGTAGTCTGAGGTGCAGTTCGTAGTCATGATTGGAACCAACAGTCATATTTCAGTCTAATTTATGGACTTTTCTGCAAGGACAGGGGGCGGATTGCCCCTATGTGCACATTTTATTTGTAAATTAGTTGGAAGAATCCACAGTTGATGGAAAAATTGCCTCTTGTAGTTTATTCTGTAAGCGTGAATTACACAATTACTGATACATTTCTACGTTCTTTTACGAAACTACCTTTCACTAATAGTATACTGATGCTTTTTTGGGAGATTCCCTGTGTATACTGGTAAATTAGTCCTTAACATAACTGATCATGATATATTCTTCAAATTTTATTTCGGTTTCTTGAAGAAGTCGATGAAATTTAATGGATATATTGGCATAATTTAATTGATATATTTTCGGTTGTTCGGTAGTTTGTGAGAATATAGCTTCTGTTTCTAAAGCGGGAATATCATACAAATTTCTATTTATTGTCTGTAACGTCAAAGTCAAGTTTTCTTTAAAACTTTCCAGTTACGTACTGAATTGAATTTCGGAAAGTACCAGGGTATCTTTCAGGTCTTTAATGAAATTGATAAACTAATGTCATAAACTTGAAAAATACTTTTCTAAGCCATAATAATTAGTTTTAGCAGCCTCATTATAGAAGTTACTGCGCCAAGTTGTACTTCGGAATTGATAATTCTGATTCACGTGCTTGGCTTTGAAGTGATACTCGTCGAGGATTGTCCAGTCCCGGAAAATACGCAAGCAATTTTTTTGAAGGTATTCAGGCTATCACGATTGTACGTAACAGTTTATCGTTGTTAAATTTGCAGTTCATATCTGAACTGCATCTGAAATCGGTGCAAGACCAGTCGTGCATCGAGGCATCGATTACTGGTTTGGAGATGTACTCGGGCTACTACATCATGGAAAAACGTAAGATTGGAAAATTACAGGTAACAGCTGGTCTTCTGTTTAAGATTTCACGGTGTGAGTTAATCAACTCTATGAATGAGGTATAGATTTTGAACCCTTGCGCGCTGTCGCTGTTGTATAATACATCGAGTGAATCGGACCATGGAGAAATTAAACTCACATCATTGGACATTCATGTGTCTCCATCGACCGTTAGACTTCTGTGCGGTGCTATGGCCGAAATGGCGAAACCTCAGGTAATGACACTGCTCAGATCACTAGCAGATTTGTGCACTCACTCCTGCCATTAATGGTTTGCTGCAATAGGATATTGCTCCGAGCGAAGAGACGCAAGGCGTTGAAAAAAATCTTTGGTGCGAACGTAGGATCTCCGACGCTGCATTTTGGTTTTTCAGTGAAGGTGTCAATCAGATGGCTGTTTTTCTATTGCTTGCTAGCGTGTGACTATTATTTAGTGAAAACGGCATCGGAAGCTCAGGAAACGCCGTCAGAGTCCACCGCACTGAATTTTTCAAGTCGTCCAGAGGTATCGTCGATTAAAGAGCAGCAGGTGAACGCATGTTTTAGATCTTGAAATCTGGAACCCATTTATGTCTGTTCAATTTTTCGACATTGCTTGTGTTATTTAATTAGCTCATTTCCTCTTTGTCTTTGTTCACAATATGGATTGACTGATGTCGCTTAACTGTTGCTTTTTGCGTTATAATTCTTTAACAATAGCCTAATTAATTGAACTGTGCTCTAGCTTTTCTTTTCATTGGAGCAACTCTCGATTACGCTTGAAATAGATGGCGAAGGGGGTGCCACTCCATTGATTTATGTACTTTCGTCGTTTCGTGCCGAAGTCGAAGACTGGTCATCAAGCTTATCAGCGAATGCTCAGATAACGTGGGAGGTGTCGTACTTCAACGACCACGTGTCCACGTGGGAACCGCTTTTAGAGCCTGTTCAGGAAGATCGTCACTACCGGCCCTGGGAGTCCCGGATAATCGTAGGCGATTCTGCGTTGTTCTCGTGACGTTCTGTTGGTTTTTTTATATAGGTTGAATCTAATTCTGAGGATGACGTCGTTGAAGACGATTATATTTCCGTTCAGCCGAAAATGAACGTCATCGTGACATCGAGCGACATTATGGAACTCACCGTCACGAAGTCGTGCTTGGATATGATTACGAAATTGTCGCAGGTATTGTTTTCGACTTTTGCTATTAGCACTAGCGTAACATTCAGCGAAACGCTATTTTCTGTGTTTCGTAGTGATGAATAACGATATTAAGAGCTTTGCGTAAGTGACTTTTCTTCCATTGGGAATATCCTGCGCGGTCTGGCCTAAATAATTAACTTACTACTGCTTCGTCATGGTTTCTTCATGGATCAGTTTTAAATTTTTGACTTGTTATTTCATTTTTCCTTTACCACGGCAAGTCATCGTTGATTTCCGTGTCGAATCATCGTGTTTGTTAGAAGAGAACTTTTGTTCTGTTTGCCAGAGTGCGCACTTTCCATTTCCAACACTAGCTTGTAAAAACAGACTTTCATATGCATCACTCAGCCATACTATGTTATTCAGCCGCTTATGGCACCGCTCCAGTGCTAATACTGATTTATGTAACTTGCATGCACAGCTCCGTATCGTTTTGGTGCTTGATCGTTATTAATGATGTTTCACAAGTCGTTGCAACAGCCTGACAGATGTGTATGCATACGCTTGTAATGCGTCCAGTTGCTTGGTTTTGCGCTTCACGCTTATACTTGAGCGAAGTTCAGAGTTATCGTTTGTAAATGTTTTATGCATATTCACCGTGCGTCGCTTTTACTTGGTTAAAATTTAAGATATATCGAAGTTAGAGATGTGTCTTACTGTCTTAGCCGTATTTAGTGATGTGTTTGTCCTCATATCCTTTTGCCTTGTTTTCCAACTATTTCATCACGACCCTAGCGACGAGGTAAAATTCGCTTTACCGCTCTAATCAGTGTTACCTTTGGTTGTTACTCACTTTACACGACGCGAACTATGAAAAGCAACTCAACGTTACGTTCCACTGTGATTAAGACAATCGGTTTCTCACTAAATCCTGCCATGGTTTTTTTCTCGGTTTGAGCACCATCCGCCTTTGAGCTCTGTTGTTAACTGAATCCGGTTTGAAAATTCTAGAATAAAGGAAGAAAAGTTGGTCTCGTTTGTTTTGCTACGCTTTCACTTGATTGGTTCCCTTGATTTATGCAGTTTGAGAAATATTCATTTGTCCTGCGTTATCGACTTACTTCACAACCAGGAATTCTGTTGCGATCGTCGCAGCTACTGAATAAACTTTGTTCATTTTCATGTCGAATTCCAGCTCTCCGTACTCCCTTTAATTACTTGTCAGGTGCTCGGTTTATAGTCATGTGAAGCGGAATACATCAATAAAATAAAAACATCCCAAGCGGCTTGCAGTAACGTAATGCAGCGTTGACTATTCACTGTATCGAACTTTACCAGTTTGCATCTTTCAGTAGTTTACAGTCGGCGCGACGGGAATAATTATGTGACTCTGACGATGCCAGACATTCCTGTGACATACTGACAGATGTAAAGTATCTATTTTATTTGCACATTGTCACATTGATCCCTCTATGACAGATGCAACTGATGGTGCCCTCCCTGAGATTTTTCGTAATGGTTCGGCATCCACTACTTTTTACTTTCAGCCACTGATAAATGGGCATATTAAACTGACCTTTCTCACCACGAAACGTCGATACTGCATAGATGTTGGTATTCGAACGTACCGTGTGTAATTATAGCATAGGCGGCAAGGATCACAACGACGCTAATCAACGAAGCCATTCGTTCGTTGCGAAGATTGGCTGTGCTCCGAGTTGTTTTAGCCTGATCTCCCTCCCACAGGCACTGATTCTCTCACTTCCGTGTTGGTGACTTAAGTAACTGCTTTGCACATGCAAATAGCTTTTTTATCTCAGTTCTTTGGCGGTATTCCCTTCTGATAAATATTCAACCAGTCCAAGGAAGATGCACCTCCTATCCAATGAAGCGCATGTTTTTGCAAGAGATAAACCCATTCATTCCTACAGTTTGGCATTACGAAATAGAGTCGTTTATTCAATGTGATGTTCCTCGACTGTTGCTGAAAGTTTACCAGTAAAGACTCATGTTTCCAAAACTAGCCTTTGTGTTAGTCGAGCTCAACGTTCAACGTATTGTTTGTATTTGAGATCGATAAACCGAGTTTTCTGACATTGAAATTGTTGTGAAAGACTCCCTTTAAGGGACAAACGGAAAGCATACCTGGCTTAATTTGCATCGGATTCAAGTGTTTCTAATATAATGTTTTAATTGGCTACAGTAGATTGCTTTAGCAGAATGTCTCTGAGTTGCGATGTACGTTGTCTTCGCAGCTTTGCAACACTCAGCTGCTGTGAAGCACCTCTGAGCGCAGATCTGTCTCTATTGTTCATCCTTGTTGCGCTCATCCGTGTTCCTTCATGGCATGTTGGCTCGTGTCGGTACTGTTTTGGCTCTGCATGAAAAGTTTGCGAGATGTAGTGAACATCAATTAAATCGTTTTGTCTACTAGCCAGTCTATCTGACTTTGCTTTGACTGTAAATCTACTTAAGATTTGTATTCGGAGCGACTGGTCATAACAGCATTCTGCTATTCAGATTTTAAGCGTTGCCTAATTAGTCGACGCTAAGTCAAACCCAGCGCAGCTGTAGACGGTTAGCCGTGTTTCGTAGTCTGTCGTTGAAACGGTAGTCTCTTTCCGTGTCGCAACTCTGACTGATCCAATGAAACTGCAGGCATATTTCTTATTTACTTTTTCAGCCCAAATATTGAACCGGATGCCGTACCACTGTAAGCAGAGGCGATCCTCTTACTTGACTCCTGTGTAACCTGTGACCGTTGCATTGGTTGCTAAAAATGATTGAACTCGTACCTTTTGACGGCAAGCTTTACCGCTGACCTCCCCGTTGTGCTTGCGGGAATACTGTGGCGAACCGGTTCGCCATAGCCGTTTGATTTCCGGGCGTTAGGGAAGAGATCGGCTTGCGCAGGTGCACGTGGCAACGGTTGGCGAAGCCTGCTTCCGTTGTCCCTCACGAGCTCAGTATCATCTAGGTGCTCCAAATTAGCAAGATATTTGGCCGGTTATTTCTTCCTCCTCCTCTATTGTAAAGCGCGTTTCGTATTTTCTTAGTCCTCCATTCTTTCATAAGAAAGAGCAAATTGACATACGGCAAACTACTTAATTTTGTTTGACTGGCAGTTAAGTTTTCTGATT